TAAAGCACTTGTTGCAGGCTGCTGAGTTTGCATCTTTTGCTGTGAAGTACAGCCAGACTTTTGATCGCTTTGTCTTGAGCATTTTTAATCTGTAGCTCTGCTCTAAAAGAACGTACGTACCTGGGCCCGCCTACTATCCTTGGAAAGGTAAAATGATTGGCTAGAATCCAAAGTTTACGACATCTCAGGAAAAATAGCACCGAAATAAAGCACCGAAATAAAGCACCGAAATGTGCGCTGCTTTTCGGTCTGGTTACTACCGTTTACCAGTACCCATCCCTAGTGGGGAGTAGTGCGCTCTGAGGGGGAGTGAACTGGGTGAGTGTCCAGGCTTAAGGTGAACTGAGCAAACCAAGATGTCTGACCTTTTCTCTCCTTTGCACTGACCTGGAGGTAAATGGTGAGAAGGAGGGCAGGCAGGTGAAATGTTTGAGCTTTTGCTTTTTCCAGAGCAGTGATCGAGGAGTAGACTAGCAGCAGAGAGAACCAGTAGAGCAACAGGTAAGTTTCAATGCTGACCCAAGGAAGAGGAAACTGGAGGTGCAGGTAGACTGATGTTAACACTAGGAGTAACAAGGTAAAGCTTAAACATTGAGGCCAATTTATCACCAAGGGGTAGCAGACGATCTGGTGGAGAGTAGAAGTCTGTGCTGTTTATAAATAGCGTCCCGCTGAGTTATTTGTTTCCTTTGCCTTGTGTTTAGTTTATTTCCATCCTTCTATCTCATTGACTTGATTTTCATGTCTCATTATCCTCCTCTGTCCACTTAGCCTTAGCTATTGTCCACATAACAATATTTTCTATTTACACTTTGCCACAGCATCGTATTTCCCTTCTCACAGCAAGCAAAATTATTTGTCCATTTCCAGGTCAGTGACTCCAGTTAGCTGAGGTAAAACCTTGCAGACAGCTAGGAGCACAGTTGTCCAAACAAAACAGCCATCTATCTGTAAACAGAAAAGGCTTCGATGAGAGAGTGAAGAGGAAAATGTATAAATACAGCTTTTGTCTCCACCATGCAAGATGAGCATTGTTTTAGCTGTCAAATCTCTTGTTCCAGAGAATCACAGGAAAAGAAGTCACACCTGGGATAAAATTCTTTGGACAGGCCATCGATGGAGCTATTGACCTTGGAGGGAACGGACTCCCAGATATTGTGATTGGATCACAGGGTGCTGCTGTTGTCTTTAGGTATCAGAACTCTGTGCACGATTTATGTTGCTAAGTATTGTACATATCTACCTTACAAAGGCTCGATGCCAAACTACATACAAGATGCAATTATAAAAAACAAAAAATCTTTCCTGACTTAAATTTACTCTCCACCGCTCAGTTTAACTCATTTTGCCCTTTGGATCACTTCCTGTGCTTCTGCTACATGTCGTCCTTAGAAGCCTTGTTCTGACCAGCTGTCTGCACCTTTGCAAAGCGCTCTGCTTCTGCTCTACTATGTCAAAATAGCAACCCTCATACTTTGTGTTTTTTTCCAAAATTAAAATAAAGTTGGAGTTATTTAAATGCAACCTCAGATGGATAGCCACATAACACTCACCAATTAGTTACACTGTGGGAATGTCTTAAAGGCAAAGACCTGGATGGCCTTCAGCTTGCAGGCCCGTCTTTTTTTGGAACCAGCTCCCACTTTAGATTCTGGAGATAGCTACCATCACTACTTTTAAGATTAGGCTTAAAACGTTTCATTTTGATAAATTATAACGTTGAGGCTGGATCTGGTGACCCTGAATCTTCCCTTAGATAAGTTAGAACTAGAACCAGCATGCTGTGGATTTTGTACAGTCTTTACCTTACAATACAAAGTGCCTTGAGGTGACTGTTGTTGTGATTTTGTGCCATAAAATTATGTCCTGGCACATAAAACCTTACTACTGAAAGAGGATGTACGTTCTATTTTGACACGCCTGTTCATAAATGTCTTTCAGGGCCAAGCCCATCTTTGACGTGATGGCTCATCTAACTTTCCAACCTAAGGAGATAAACACTGAGATATTTGATTGTCTGGGTGCCGATGAAAATTTACCTATGGTTACCTTAACAGCCTGTTTTGAAATGGTAAAAGTAACAAAGAGCAAACAAGGTAGGTACCACATCCAGTAAAGATAAACAATTAAAAGCTGCTGATTGCATCCTGTGAATGCATCATTTCAATTTTGCTTTTCGGGTTTACAGAGGCTGTGAGGTCTGGACTGAACATCACATTCACAGTCGCTGTGGATCCGATGAGACAAAAATATCTAGGTTTCTTCAGTCAAACTGATAAGACAGCCAGAAGTCTTACCTCCACCTATGAGATGCTTGATGAAACAGCTTGTTTTAACTTCTCCATCTACATGCATGTATGAAGCTAATAATATTTGCAAATATACTTAATCTGTTTATAATAAACTTTCCCATTCTGATCTTTGACTTAGCTTTTTTTTACTTTTCCCCATAAAGATGACATTTAATTACTTCAAGAGTTACTCCTAGTAGGCTTTCAAAGGGGTAAAGAGATAAAAGAATAACAGTAATGTTAACCATGATCCTAATCCTTTGTTATCCTGTCCTTTAGCTTTTTTTAAACTCAAACTTTCAGAGATAAACAAATAATTTCTAACTCTATATAACAGATAAACCTTTTGTTCTGGTTTTGCTTTACAGAAATGTGTGAGTGAATTATTGTCACCTATCAGCATCAATTGTAACTTTTCCCAAGCTGACAATGAGACTGCAGCCACCACCCTGAATGTGGACAGCAAACGGCAGTCCGTTGTTGAGGTATGTACGGTGGCAAAACACCATACAATGAAATTAAATGTTAAATGGATCGGTACTTATATAGTGCTTTTCTACTCTACCCTGAACACTGACAGTTGCATTTCAGGGTCAGGGTACTGGGCCGGGGGTGGCATTACCTGGGCTAACGGTACTCTGGGGTCTTGGGTTGCTTAGGGTTAGCATGTGGTTTGTTCAGGTGTTTGCAAAGGCCCAAAGTTCTGTTAGCAACATCATGCATTTGTTTCTGTTCTCGATGCAGTTTCCACTTTACCATCGCATTCTTGTCCTTTGTCCTTCACTTTTGTAAAGATGATGTCCATAACCAGGCTGTAGACTCCGCCAGAGTGATGCTAAAAAAACTAGTTTCATACATTTATTACTTCTAGGCTGGACTACTGTAATTTGTTATTATCAGGATGTCCTGAAAACATCCTGAATCACTTTCAGTTGATCTAAAATTATATAAATGAATTTAAAATCCTGCTCCTCACATACAAGGTCTTAAATAATAAACTTATGGGATAGATAAAGCTTTTGGAATGGCCTTCCCGAAGCCCAAACCTCAGCTCTATTGAAACCTGGCTTAGGAGCCAGGTGCGTGCCAGGAAAGCAACCAAATGAACTCTAAAAGTTCTGCTAAGAAAAGTGATCCAATATTCAGCCCTAAGTTTCTTGATGGCTGCCAAAAACATCTGGTTATGTTGCAGCTTGCTAACTAAATATTAGTGGGGTATACATATGTATTTGGGTCGGTATGTATAGTTTTTATCTTGTTTGGATAAATTAAAACTTGTACACCCAATTTGTACACCCATTTTTATTTATTAAAGATATTTCAGTGAACTGTGGCTAATTCCACAATAATACATACCAAGAAAGAAAAGAAATTCTTAAAAGCCCCAAATTACCATTACATTCATGCCCATAATAAGCATAGGCAAACTTATAAGAGGATAACAGGCAACAGAGCCTGTAAACTACAAAGCTTTTGGCAGCATATTAATTTCTTTACATTTGACGGGACTTTAACATACTTACCAAATTAAAAGTTAACTTAGTTTGTCACATCAACATCATTTGGATCCAATAAGACATCGAAATTGTTCTACTCCAACTTTTTAGAACTTTATATTTTGATACAAACCAATTCTCTGACATCAGATAAACAGATGTATTATTTTTTCACAGGTTCCCTTTAAAAAAGCGTGTAGAAAAAATGACACTTGTATCGCTGAACTGGATGTGGATTTCAGTTTTATGTACGTATATGTGACAATCATAGCATAGAAACTATAAGACTGAAGTCACATGTTTAATGTAAAAGGTTCTTTGTTTCTCTCAGGACTACACAATTATTAGTGGCAGAAGATGCGTACTTCAACGTGTCTATAAAACTGGCCAATCACGGTGATGACTCGTACAACACCATGCTAGCGATGCACTATCCTCCAGGCCTCTCCTTCAGTAGAATGACACTTATAGAGGTAACTCAGACTTTAAACTCATCTAATCTGATTAAATGATCTAATTTAATCCCAAAATAGATTTGAATAACAACTGCTATTTAAAGAATCAAGCCATGGTTTTACACATCACTAAATTTACAGGTTGTGGGGAGCACTGCTGTATGTGCATGAGGGGTGTGCTATATGCATATGTAAAAGTGTGTTCAGAAACTGAGCTCTCTTAACTTCTTCCATGTTTCTGCTGGGATTAAGAAAAGCATCTAAATGTATTTGGTGTAAATACTACAAGTTGAAAAATAATATTGTCACATAATATTTCAGTGAACAATTATTTTCATGAAAATAAGGTTACTATGATTTTGGAGCAACTTAATGGTCAAAAGTATACAAACCTTTGAAGAGTATTAGTTGTTCCCTCAATTGCTGGTTCATGACAGTAGTAGTAATATTATTATTATTATTATTATTATTATCATTATTATTATTATTAATAATAATAATAATAATGATAATAATAATGATAATAATAATAATAGCAAATTTTGTGCTTCATAAAAAGAAATATATAATTTATTAAAAATCCAGAAATAGTGGGGAAAAAACAAGACAAATAACAGAAAAATAAGGAGAGGAATAAATAGTGGAGCAGATAATTTTAAAAAATTGTGCAAATAGTAATATAAGCACCAAATCTGGCACAATTCCTCAGATTAATACACATTTAAAGTTTACTTGATTATCCACTTGAAAATCCAAGATGGTGGATTTTTTAAGACGGCCACCAAAAAACTCTCAATTGTTTAGTTTTTAGTAATCTTGATGTCTAAACAGACATTTTCAAACCTCCCAAGTTCATTTTCCCATTATCAAGAGCCTAACAGCAAGACGTATAACCAGATTTATAATATTATTTTGAAAACAATATGCAGTCAGTTATGTCGTGTAGATGTTTGCTATTTAGCAGATCAACAGATTGCTGCAAGAAACAAACACATTTTAATATAAAGCACAATGGTGGAAATGCACCTGCCAAAGCAAGTCAGAGTTCACTGCACATTGTAAGGGCAGTGGCACAGTGTCGATGACATCTGCCCCTGCATACTCAATATGTCAGTTCCTGGAAGCGTGCAGTTAATTGTAGGGAGTGTTGTCCATGAAACTGCCAAGGCCTTTTTTCCTGTCTGCCCGGTCATCTGGGTTCCCATTGTTTGGATCCTAATTGATTGCTTGTTCACAGATTTTTCCGACCTAGCAGGCAGTACGTTTTACATGCTCCCTGAGGGCTGCAATGGTGGAATAGCATCATAACCCTTGTTTCCATGCAAATAACTAACCTTATTTACCAGTAACTGAATTTGTCCGGTCCTATATATTAATATGGTGAAGTGGCATAGACGTTCCCAGGGAGGCTGAGGAGTGTGATCTCTCTGTATTGGAGCACACCCTCTTCTTGAGGATGAGAACCCCCACCTAAGTCTGCCAATCAAGAAGTACCGCCAAAATATCCATGCAACATTGTAGAAGTGTGTCAGTCAAGCCCTACAACATCCATAGCCTTCAGGAACTAGTGGTCTCACCCCCAGAGATAGACAAGAAGATGTGCGAGTGGAATTTAGGAGGTCTTCGAAGTATTCCTTGCACCGCCCGACAGTGTCCTCAGTCGAAAGCGCTCCACCCACACTATACATAGTGCAGGTAGAGTACTGCTTTCCCCTCCTGATATGCCTATAGGTTTGCCAGAATCTCTTAGAGGCAGTCCAAAAGTATTTTTTCCGTGGCATCTCCAAACTCCTCCTGAGGTTTTGCTTCAGCCACTACCTGAGCCACGTTCCGCTTGGCCTATCAATACCTATCAACTGCCTCCAAAGTCCCATAGGCTAACTAATCCCAATAGGACTCCTTCATCTTGATGGTTCCCTTTACCTCTGGTGTCCACCATATTGTTCAGGGGTAGAGGCAGTTACAACCACGACAGGGACCAACCACCTTGCGGCCGTACCTCAGTGTAGCAGCTTCAACAATGGAGGTGCTAAACATGGTCCATTCAGACTCAATGTCTCCAGTCTCCCTCTGAATGCTGTCGATGCTCTGCTGGAGGTGGGAGTTGAAGATCTTATGGACCGGGGCCTCTGACAAGCATTTCCAGTGCACCTCACTATATGTTTAGGCATCCCAGGTCTGTCCAGCATCATCCACCGCCACCTTCCCAACTCACCACCAGGTGGTGATAAGTTGACACCTCAGCACCTCTCTTCACTCGAGTGTCCAGTACATATGGCCGCATATCCAATGATACGATTACAAAATCGATCATCAACCTGGGACCTAAAGTGTCCTGGTGCCACGTGCACTTATGGACACCCTTATGTTCAAACATGGTGTTTGTTATGCAGTTTGCACAGAAGTCCAGTAATAGAACACCACTCGGGTTCAGATCTAGCAGGCCATTCCTCCCATTCATGCCCCTCCAGGTCTCACTGTCATTGCCCACATGAGCTTTGAAGTCTCTCAGCAGGATGACAGAGACACCACCCCGCACATGGGCTCCAAGAAGGCCAGGTACTCTCAATAGTCTTTCAATGCATAAGCACAGACGACAGTCAGGATATGTTCCCTTACCCGAAGGCTCAGAGAACAAACCCTCTCGTCCACTGGGAAAAACCACAATGTACAGGCAGCAAGCCAAGGGAATACTAAGATATCCACCACAACCTGCCACCTCTCACCAAGGACAGCTCCAGACTTAGGCAAAGTTCAGCCCCTCACCAGGAGAGTGGTTCCAGTTAACTCTTAACCTCACGCACTAACTCAGGCTCCTTCCCCACCACCTTAATGTACTTCAGAGCAAGGCCATTTAATGCTTTCTAATGCTAATGAATGGAAAGTCGGTACTAAATTTAATCGACAACCAGTTTAAATCCACCAGTACTGATTACTGGATATAACGCTTAAGTCAATATTAGGATTCAGCAAACAGCAGCAACTTTAAAGCAATATGGCTGACTTTGGTCTTGGCAGTAGTTGGCTACATTCAATTCAATTCAATTCAATTCAATTTTATTTATATAGCGCCAAATCACAACATAAGTCGCCTCAAGGCGCTTCATAATCACCCATATGAACAAGACAATTTGAACAAAGAAAATTAGACTAGAACTAAATGACCTTAAAGTGAATTATTTTGTACATTAATCAAATTTCCATTAAGAAAACACCCAGACCTGAGTCTGGGTGCTGAGTTTTGCAAACACTTCGCTCATTGTTGTCCCCACTATTCACACATTTCAGATGATTTTAGAATTCAGACAGCTTGGGGGACTCAATTAACTTTGTACCTCAACAACACTTTGTACAAACCAATGGATTTGTGGCTTATTTTGGCTGTCTGGTGTTTGGCAGGGGGCTGGTGTATAGCAAATAAAAAAACAGAAAAACCTCTAATTTATGTTTAAGGGAAACATTTGTATGAAACACAGAAGATTTAAGGAACTATTTAGTGGGACTTGGAGTTGTTTGTAGGTACAAAGAGCTCTTTCTTACAGTCTACAATCTTCAAAATTTTAAACTCAGTCTTACAGAATATCAAAAAAACTGTCACAGTAGCTGAAAAAGTTGTTATTCTAAAGAGTCTCAGCAGAGACTATTCTAAAAGTCTTTTTTTTTCTTAAAACAGTCATCAAGATCAACGCCCCACAAATGCTCAGATCTAGAAGGAGTACTTGACAAAACCATATGTGGTGTGAGCCTTCCTCTGTTTCGCAGCAGATCCTCTGTGAGTCACAAAACACCCAGATATCCTCCCAGCAGACAGAACTCAAGTTTCACAAATGGGGAACTGTCACAAGCTTTCTGAAACTTTTTGAGAAATATTTTTCTCTTCGTCTATGAATCAGGCCTAACCTCTTTTTAATTTCTTCCCACAAAAAGGCAACGTTTGAATCTTCTTTCTATGTCATGCATGACTTTGAATGGGATGATACAATCTCCATGACAATTGATGCAAATAGGTACGGAAATACTTAACATACAAACCATATCTTTAAAAAATTTGCTTCTGATATTAAAAGACATTGCTTTCTCATCTACAGTAATAATCAAGACTCTAATAGGACCAGTGCACTGACCAAAAATATCCCAGTACAATATGAAATTAAAATGATATTAACAGTGTAAGTTTCACTATTCACACAAAATATTATGGAATGCTTCTATGTTATTTATTTCTGCAAGTCTGTAGTTGCATAATTGTTCAGCTGCATGCTGCGAACATATTTTCAGGAAGCAAGACAGCGCTACCTATCTGAACTTCACAACAGAGGACCCTGCACCTAAAGAAATGGGTATTACATACAGGGTAAGACATAATTACACTGTCAAAAAACCATTCAACAGAACTGATGATCAATGATCAAAATGAATACTTTTTCTTTCATTTGAAGTTTGAAAAGGGCATTCACTATTTTATAAAAATATATATTTTATTTATTATTTAATATATATTATTGACCACTATCCAGGAGCATGTTCAGTTTGATAAAAAACCAAACTGAACTGAATTTCACATTTTCATTATTGAATCCGATTGTTCAGTGATGACGTGACGAATCCTACTTCCGGGCCTAAAGTAGTCTGCGTTTATTATGGCTTTTGTGTTGTTAACATGTTTAATGTTATGTATTTTCTTCTATTTAATATCAAAAAGCTCCTAAAACAGTCAGTGATCACTGTTGACCTCCCTC